CTATCAAGGATGTAGGTAATTAGAATTAAAACGGAAATTTTCTATTCTAATTAGTTAAAATTCATCGAAAGAAAAGGTCTTAAACAGAAATGATTCGGGAGATTTTTCAAAGGGAAAATACATTTTACTATTTAAAACTATTATTAATTTAAGACGTAAAATATAGTAGTTTAAACTATAGGAAAGCTACCACTTGCATTTTGTTCTATTGCCTTGTAAATTTAAATAAATAAAAACATTCCAGCCGAAAAATACAGATTTATTCACTTTTTTTTTTAAATATTTACTTTACGCTTCTAGAAAATTGACATTTGCATCCAGAAATATCTGACGACATTTAAGAGTCGTTTTAGATGACATTGTAACAAATGTCGTGTGACATTTGTTTTTAAAATAGAAGGGAAAAACCATTTCGACACTAGAGGCGATAATTAATAGTTTTCCAGCCTGTTTTATAAAGTCTAGTTGAAAAAATTTAATAATAAGTGTTATTATAATGATTTATAGCAATATTTACTAATTATTTAATCTTATAATTAAGTACAGGTATACACTGAAATATGACTTTTACCTCGTCCGCCGCCGCACTGTGCCACTAACGAGCTAAAATATAATTATTTATATGGAAATATCACAGATTATAGATGAACTTACTACGTAGAAAAAATTAAAATAAGCTTAAGTAAAAATGCCAAATCGGTCCAATCCGCTTTTTGCATTTGACAGTAATATAATTTTTAGAAAAAATCAGTAAAATAAAAAAGTGGACGACTTTTTGCCACTTTGGATATCGGAGCGCTTTTTGCGTAAGTACCGGTACCCGCATCCCTTTTATCTTTTGCTACAAGATTCTATAACCCGTAAACACAAATTGCATTAAATTATTGGCACTTTATTTAATTGTGTTATATTCAAACTCATTTATAATAGAACATCTATTACCAAAACAGCATTTGTGCAGTCGAAAGAACACAGAAAATCCCTCCGTTCTAACGGTGGCTCGATAGTCCTCTCGAAGAAAAAATTCACAACTTTATTTATACTATTTAGCCTAAAGAAAGATGAAAAACTTTCCGACGCTAGTTTAATTAATTTTACCTCGGTAATTGTTTCCTACATAATTTTGTATTTATGTTAAATTTAAACTCTCACGTAATTCTCTTCACCGGAAAAGGAAAATTGCGGATATCATCTCGCGACACAATGTTTCGTTATTGGTGTTTGTTTATTGGATTAAGAGCCGGATGCATAAAAAGTATTAACGATCCAAACGACTACCAAGTTAACACCAATTCTTCGTAATGTGAGGGAGATACCGTAAGCTTAGCAGTTACATTAATAACATATAATATTAATAATAAATATGTAAATTCGAATTTCTGCTTTACTTTTCCGTAGGCCTTGTAATACTCCATATTAGGTTGGTTTAGAATAGGATTTTGCGTACCGAAATGGTCGTTTCAGATTGACAGTTTCCACAAAATTATCAAGTATCCGAAACGTCGACGTTACAGAGTAATTAAGTAACGAACGGTGTTGTTAAAATCGAAACGATTGAACATTCCGAAGAATTTTTAGTGCCGAGCATTAGGCTACTCAACGAGGCACTGGATGCATGATCCTTCAGTTTCAGATACATCACGGAGGAATGTGTAAAAGCGAGAGAAATGTCTCATCGAATCGACCGAATTAACCCTCTTTTATTTATTTGTTAAAATCCTGTTTTGCCCGTTTTAAAACGCAACGCAATTGTACCAATAATAAATCAGATTTCGAATGGTAACAGAATTATTCTTCGAAATTGTTACGCCATCTAGTGTACGAAATTTCAAAATTACACAATTACAATTGTACTGTACTGTACATATTTTGCTACGATTGCTTCCGACCGGAATTTCACCATACCTTAGAGTGTGGCAACTAAATTTTTCCGGTCTGGCAAACTTTCTTCGTACCTAATCATTTATTGCAAATTTAAGTAAATTATTGGGTGTCGGATGCGTCGAAGCAACCCGCTCGGAACGTAGGCCTTTTTGAAGATTTAAACCCCTCTCTCTCTGTACAAACATATATATATATATATATATATAAATCTTTCTGGGCATTTATCAGGTCTGGTTTAATTTTCTTTAGAAACGTTATACATATATCGATATAGAACGAAGTAAGTCAGTAATGAGCGGTGGAATAAGGCGCATACTAAGACCAGATTATGATCTGGTAGCCTATGCCAATGCAAACCTATAGTTTGGATACAGGTCTCTCAGACGATACTCATTGCCTGTATCGACACTACAGGGCAATGAGTACTCGTACGTACAGATAGATCTATGTTATAAAAAATATATATTTATATACACACATATATATAGACTACTCGAATTGGGTATCACTCAAACTTTATATTGAATTAAGTTAAAATATGAGCGGATGATACTCGATTTGTAATGAGAGTTCTATGCGTAGCAGTTCGGTTAAAATCACGAGACGGAGTGTAATGCGAACGAAGACTGGAACCGAATCGTCATACTGTAAGTGATTTGTTCATCGACAGATGGCGACACGCGTTAAAGTACAGTACTTACCCCTTAATTTGAGAAATAATTTTACATTTATCTTAATAGAGAAATATTTGATATATATTTTAAGTCGTATACTTTATATAATGTAAATTTTATTTTATTTTATATATGTTAATTAAGTTTATATTCTTATCATCCAATGCTTACGGCCTATACGTTTTCATAAGCGAGTATTAAGAGTGATACTCCCTGAAATTAAGCTAGGTCCTAATATCTCTATTATTATTTTTTTAATTATTACTCGGCATTTTCTTTTTCGATACTAACAATTTTCAAAATTCTTAAAATCTAATTTAATAAATTATATTGTAAGACATGGTGTAGTATTTTTTATTGTATAAACTATAGCATTTCGAAGTAAAAGAGGGTATGTTCTATGTTGTAATGTACAGTACAGTACCTGGGATTTTTTTTAAAAAATAGAAACAGAAGTTTTTCTACACGTGTAGATTCTAGAATAATAAATTCGGGAGGGAGTCTTTTATTTTAGTGAAACAATGATAATATCGTTAGGGGTTCGTTTAATAGAAAAATCGGAGTGTTCGAGGTACAATTGCTTTGTGTTCTTGCAGAAATTTTCGTCGTGATATTTTAAAATTTTGTAAACGTATAACGAATTTCATCATCGACGTCGGATAAGGTAAACGATCTTCCAGATATCTCGTTTGTCTCTAATGTTACATTTCTCAAGAATTAGTCATAAAAGTAGATAGATTTCTATATTTGTATACTTCGTAGAATTTTAGAGATAACACGCCGAGAAGAGGACGATTGAGACTGAATGTATCGGGTCTATCCCCTTCTAATCTTTGATTTTATCCTATGAATTCGTATGAGTATCTCTATACTAGTCTATAGTTTCTTTTCCTATAAGTCTTCCTTCTATAATAGAAGCAATTTTCACTCTAATTCTATAAATGTGCAGATAATTTTAGATACGGTTTATGTGCAGTGTTTTATATTTAACTGATATAAGAAAGATTTGATAAATTTAACTGACGAATAATTTCCTTTATTTACACTATTGTTACTCGTATGAGTTTACTTTCAATTATTTAAACTTTATTAAAAAAAATAAATAAATGTTTATAAGATTAAATGGATCATATTAATGCTATCTTATTACAAAAAATTTCGAAAAATTTAGCCGATTTCGTAATGTATACGTAGAATAAAATGAATCGTAAAGCCAGCATCTGTACTGTACGTGTGTGTTCTTGAAATTCCAAGATAATGAAGATACAATGAATATTAATTAATTGTAATGTTCTTATCCGATGGTTATCGTTGAAAATTTCTTCTTTTGTCACGCTTATTTAAAATTTGCATAATTATTATCCTGTTGCAAATTAATTTTTAGTCTTTTGTGATACTCGACCGAATGATTGGAAAATTTGCTGCCGTGTATAAAATTAATAAGCAATCGAATCATTAATTAAGGATAGAATACGGATCTATTGTTTGGTGATCGTAATATAGGGAGTTACGAGTTTTGATATTGAATTATTAGATATACGTTTCCAAGCATAATCATTAATGGAGGAAAATGAATTTTTAAATTATAATTATTCCCAAAGTTATAAAAATTTGGTGATTCTGATAAGGATATATCAAAATCTTTATTTGACAGGAAAGCCGTACGATACGATAGATACAATATGTGTCATAAATTACTTTACTACTTCTGTACTTTATTTTTCTCTATAAAAATTTCTTAAATATCGAATCGATCAAATTATTTTTTTTTGTTTGTTTTTTTTTTGTTGTTGTTTTGTTGATTGTATACTTTGTAAATGTTTGTATCATTAGTTATTCTTTTGACCCTTGAAAAAGGCCAATGGCCATAGGGTCGTATGATTAAATATTAAAAATATTAAAATATTAAATATATTGTTAATTTACAGTAGAGCCTCGATTATCCGACCCCCCGATTATCCGACCGTCCTAGTCGTCAAATTTCAAATGTCTGCTGGTGATGTGGCACTACAATATTTAGCTATGCCTTGGCTACTTTAATATTATTTTTACGTGTTTTAGCTGGCAACACTCATTCGACCATGAAAGGGAACCAGTATTTAAACGAGGCTTAATTTTCTAATTTTTAACGATACAATAGCGACGATTTTTATTTTAAAAAATTTTTGTTAGGCTTAACATCGATGAAAATTCAACGCGAAGTAGGTTAATAGCGATATACTAATATACTAATTACATGGGATATAATAATATACTACACTAATACTGGATTTTTTTATACTTTTCGGTTATCCGACTTTTCAATTATCCGACCAACCCTAGTCTTCAATTGGGTCGGATAATCGAGGCTCTACTGTATTCAGGTAAAGTTAAATATATAATTTAATTTTGCATTTATTTCTCGAATTTTTTATAATGCAAAATAGAAGGGAGAAACTGGCGTAAACAATTATCCTTTTTTATTTAACAGATTTATGAAAAAATAAGTTATGTACAAAAATTAGCATATACAAATTTCATTAGTGAGCCATTCCACGAAGTTTTCTAGTCTAAGGCGTGACTTAGTTGTGGATTAATTTAAACAGGCAAAAATACGAGGAAACCCTTCTTCCTTTATTAAACAGTCTCCTTCGTTAATATAATGTGTCAGTGCAAAGACCACTGTATGACGCTGCAATCCCTTCCACCCAGAGACACCACTTTGTGCCCATCTTGCAGGAAACTGACTGCGGGTACTTGGCTGCTGTGTCCGCTGTAAGTGTGGTATAAACTCTACAAAATAAAAAAGAAAATTAGTCAGGTGGCTACACGGATCCCTTATCTTACACTTATCATTTTCCAACGCATTACTTTAGGTTGACAAGCCGGATAAGAGTATAGTTTGACTTTTCCGAAATCGTCCCCGGTGACCAGCAGTTTGTTATCGCGAGATTTATCACAACTTAAAACGTCGGGTCCTTCGGAATTTTCCGGCCATATGCCCAGAACATTAAAGCCTACGATGCACGACTGACTGCTCCATGTTACGTCTTTAATTGCGGCTGGACTCGTTAACTGACGACAAACGGTTGCATTCCCTGTTTTAAAGCGAAATCGGTTGTTTCTTTGTCTCCATCGATTAAAAATAAATAAATAAAGAATATGTAATTTAAAACTCACAATATAATAATTCGTGATCGGAGGAACAAGACTGCAAATTGGTACTGTCTTCGGACCAGTCGATATTTAACACTGGATTGGAATGACCCTGCACTCGGATAATAAAGCACGATTTACATAAATCTTATTACGTTTTTCTCTTTTGCATAAATAAGAAAAATTTAAGGAGCAACTCACCGCACATCTTCCGATTCTGCTGTATTTTTTATAATCGTCGCTGACGTTGTAAACATAAATATACTTATCGTGAGAACCGATAGCTAGGAAATTCCCATCTACGAAACGGGAAAATTATATATTTCCAGGGTTTTGAATTTGAATAATGGTTTTCGAAGAATATTTAATTCAGAAAATGCATTTACCCGGTGAAAATTTAACGCAGGTAACCGGCTCGTTGCTGTCCGTGTGGATGGAAAGTGTTTGTCTAGTGTTGACGTCCATCACGATCCACCTGCCTTCCGTCGTTGCCACCACGATGGCGTTACCCTCCGGAGAGAAGCACCCTGCCTGCGGGGTCTCCTGTTTAACCACAACACCCATAAATCATTTTTTGTTTCGGTTACCGACAATAAGTCATTAACCATATTAAAATTTCTAATTACGCCTATGTCTTTAATCCAGACGACTCTGTGCGAGAGAGTATCCCACAGGCAGATTTTGTGGTCGTGACCTCCTGTAATGAAGTGGCTGTCGGTCGGATGCACGGCCAGCATGGAAACGTCTTCTGTGTGACCCTGTAAATATTGTTTTCGTACACAATATACACTTTCGTTTTATTGGCCGTATCTCTTATCACGAAACCATACCTTACCTGCACAACAACTTCGAAGTTGTGTGTCATTGTGCCCTGCAGAATGCAATTTTTGGTTGTGCCTATTAAGAGGATGTTACCTTTGCCTCTCGTTATCATACGAACGCCTCCCACGTTGTCGGGTAGCTAAAGAGAGAAAATTCGTATATTTTTCCGGAGATTTATCGATGTAAGAAACTTTACGAGATTTTTGAACCTACAGTAGCTTCCGATAACGGCCTTTTAACTCCGAGATCCCATTGAACGATCCGGAAATCCTTACCACCTCCGGTCACGAACGTTCCGTCTTTTAGAACGCAAATAGAAAACACTCCTCCGTCGTGAACGTTCCCGATTGTCCTACATACCTTATTGTAACCTTCGAATATACGAAAATTAGATAGAGAACGAGGAAAATCTCCGTTAGAGTACGAACACCGGACTGATACTCACCTCTCGCCCATACAGAGATATTGCCAGAAGAGTCTCCGGTCAGGAGATCGCCCATATCCGTGAAGGCTATGCACTGCACGTATTTAGGCTTGTTATGCTTCTCGAAAATCCCAACCTTCTTACTTAAAGTGTATCCTTCGGCGTTCCATATGTGCACGTGTCCTCTTCCGACCGTCACCAAAGTGTGACTGTCCAGCGGATGGAATTCTGCCGCCAAAACCGGTCCGGCGGCGCACTAATTATCATATATATATATATACATACACACGCAAAGATAAAACACGTAAAGAATGGAAGTGTCGAGTACTGTACCTTAGTTTCGGTGATTTTATGACCGTGCTCGCTCTTCTGCCAGTCCCAAAGGGAGAGAGTATGATCCTGAGAATCGTCTACCACGCACAGTAAAGAACCGCCGTCCTAGAAATACAACGCAGTGTTCTAGTTACGTGTATTCGAGATAAAAGAGCTTAAGGATGAATATTCTTACCGCTTGAGAGAATGCCACGCAGTTGACTGCCCTTTCGAATTCTCCCACACCGATCACTTGCAGGGTGTTAAGGCTAACGGAATCCCAGATGCGAACGTGAGGCTAAAAAATATTTAGTAAAAGAATTATTGAAAATAAATTCTTAGGATGAGTTAAAGTGCACGAAATTAATTATTGGGGAGGAGGATACATGCAGAGTGGAACACAAGGAGGAATCAGTTTCCAGAGGTGCTTACGAGAATGATTATGTACGAAATTTACGAAGGAAGACGTAAAACATAGAAGTTTTAAGTTTTTAAAGCTGAAATCGGAAGCGCAAACAGTATTAAAACAGTGCTGATAATTGAAGTAATTATTGAAAATGTTTATGTTCTAATAGGATAAATGCTCCTTCCTCCGCATCATTTGTCCGAATTATATTTAATCCTACGTAAAATTGTTATGACATTAAGAAGCGATTCGGTGTTTACGCTTAACTAAATTAATTCAAATTGTTTAATATACTTTTTCTTATTACGTTACATAAACCTTGACCTCTTCATTTTAATATTAAAGCTTTGGTCCCGTGGTTGAATTAAGAAGATAATTAAATTGGTCGAGATTATTATTTAATCGAAATCGAATCTTTACATTTAATTTCGAATGAAATTTTTAGAGTTTTAAAGGGCGTACACGATAAAGAAGAGTTTATTTTGCAAATACGATAATGTACTTTACTATCGCCAGATGGCGACACGAATATTTTTAATAGAAATTATAGCGTCGAAGTACTTTCTAATTACAGTTGAAGAATTATCTATAACTGTCTCTATCGTAAAAACAACTATCTGTTAAAGAAACGTAAATAAAAATTCGATTGAAAATTGGTATTAAGCGAGTGGTGCAAAAACAGAAGATCGACACACAAAGAAAAACACACACACGTCACACTCGTGCCATGCAGAGTGATGAGCTAGTACGGTGAAGCGTTAGTGACGTCATGCGAGCCAGAGCGGTGTCATAATTAGTGAGCGGGTTAAAGCCGTGGCGTGAACACAACTCACCCAATGAGCAGCGTCGGGAGACGTGACGTCGATGGTCAAGGGACGACACTGTTTGATCAATACGAAAAAAGGGTGAATCAAATTTCTGGTACAGAATGACTGATCGACAGGGCCGAGGCGAAATTTCGGGCTGTTCCAGGCAAAACTCGCGGGAGATGTCCCGCGATCCTTCGAAGGTCTCTTCCCCTTACCCTTCGAGTCGTGGCCGTTAATTAGTGGTTCTCTCCAGCCCTCCTCTTCCGAAAATCTCCGAAGGCCGCCTGGATCGGCCGAGCGGTCGCACCGGCTCCGATGACCCTCTTCTTCGTGTTTACCACAAACGATCGGCCTCTTTAGTTAAGTTAATTTTGTCAATCCCCTTACACTGCGCCATAGACCAAACGCTTTTCACAAAGTATAGGAGAAATGCCGCCAGCGGACATCTTCGGCACGAAGATCGATCGTTTGATGGTAAACGTAGGAAGAGGTCTTTCAGCCACAGTTAAAATACAATAAATACTTTATAATGAGATTAAATGATGGGATTATATCCGACACCAGGTTTTATGAAAGATCGAATGAGAGAAGAGACCAATAAGCCACTAACTTACCCTCCTGTCTCGTCTGTCGATGCTTGCCACCTGGCCAGTGGCCACTAGTAACTTATTCGGGTGCAGGGTCATGCTGAAAGCAAACAAAAATTACTCTGCCATCGAGAATTTATTTTAAATTCTTACTTTCGAGGCAAACCAACCATTTGATATCGTCCGTGTGCCCCAGATAATGTCTTTGGATTTGATCCTCCACGTTGTACAGAATGGCCACCGATGCTATGCAGTAAAGTATCTCTCCCGTGGGAAGCCAGTATAAGTTAGAACGACAATCTCTTCCTCTGTAACCGTGTCTTGAATAATCGTTAAGCAATTTAACTGCAATTGAGTGGTCGAAAATTCCACTTATGGTAGTAGATTGATTGTATGCAATATCATTTAACCTCTAGTACCTAATTTGCAAACCCTATACTTTATGATCAATGAGGGTTATCTTATTGTCATGCAATTTTAAATAGTGTACTCGTACTTTTTAGCATTGTAAGCGTGGTTCTGGATACCTGATTTCGGGATCGGTAGTGGCTCATAATTATAAAATTCCTAACTTGCACTTGCAGAACTCGAAGCAAATTTTATGCAGTTACACTTAACAGATAAATTTGGAATAAAATAATGATTACACTAAAATGTGAGAGAAGCAAACGAAAATAAACGAGTTATTTTAGACTCAGAATATATTTCGTGTGGTGGTTTATTCATTAATCGGACTCTTTAGGGAGCAATTTAGATTGTAATCGTGTTTTATATTTTTATATAAAAGGAAAATCAATACTTAGACCCAATTGGAAAGTTATTAACAGGACTTAAATAAGGAATTATGTCCATTCTACCGAGTAATTTTTTTTATTATTTCTATAGGAAGTTACGCACCATGTCGTGTATTATTTGACAGTAAATTTAAAGAAAAATATATACACACGTGTAAATATAAACTCATTAACATAAGCAGAATACAAAACAAATATCGACTATGTAAGTTATTAAAAGCTTGTACTTTGATTAGTTACGAAAAAAAGAGTATAATTTCTGTATTTTGCGTACATTTAACACGTCGATTTTATTAAGATCGTGAGAAAATTTAGTTTTTATTTTCTCAAACAATGAAAATATATTAAAATTGTTTACTTGTAAGGTAATTTAATTACTGTTTTGTCTTTATTAATAATAATCGACGGGCAATATCGAAAATCGCTTGTTCTTTGTTCTGTTTAATAATAAATTCGGGTTCAAAGTGTTGAAAGATTTCTCTCAAAAGCAATTATAGTAGGTTGGTTTTTAAAAATTCGTTTAATAGAATTTTCCTTTATCCACGATTAAATTTAAACACGAAACGATAGCCATTTAACCACTTTCCTAATTCTCATCTTGCATTAATATACGCTTTTAATTATTAATAAAGGATACACCCATTCGATTCTCAGCCTCTGAGGAGGAGCCGGATTGACTTTCTGTAGACTGTAGTTGCTATTCTGAACTGTAGGAATGTGCATGGAGATTGGACGTCCTCTTAGATACATTTTCACTATACCGTCCTCTGAAAAGAATAATTAGAAAACGAATCATTTCTCGGTCTTAATCCGAGATATTCAAATGTATTTTGAAAAATTCGAATACTTACCGTGATTGAGACTCGTTTCTTTGGTCCTGAAATTTCAAACAATATTTTGAGGAAAGTACAGAAATTTAGAATGGAAAATCTTAATTGATCCATCGACCATTTGACATTTTTTCAATAGAACAGAATGACGGTTGATTTGAAACATGGTTGAAAGTTGACTTTTCATGTAACAGACTGATAAGTAGAGGTTTGGTAATGATCACTGTCAATTGCAATACGAACTTTATGTGGAATATATTCTATAAAGCGCACAATTGATAAGAGCTTAACAAACATTATACTTCCAATAGAAATGTAAATAATTGTCTAGTGGACATTTCGCGTACTAACAGTCGCGGTGTGATATTCCCAATTACCGAGCAGTAGATTCTTGCCAATCCGGCCATTCCTCGAACACTTCGGTGTCAGATTAGCGAGAAACTCGGATTACTGAGAGTGTATAATCCTAAAGAAAACTAATGACGTAACTTGTCTTCTTTTTTGAAGGATTCTTTGGGCAAACAATACGGCGCACCGAAATAAACCCGAGTAAACACGAAAACAAGATATGACATAAAAATTTTCGTGGAAACGGAAGGATCTATACGATCACGCTGGAGGATATTACGGATTATCGAGAGCCATATTAACGAGAGGATACGGTATTTCTACTCCGACGGATGTCTTGGAACAAACGAATTTGTTTCGATTTTTCGAAATCCGTTATTTCGAAGTCTATAAAATTGGATGTCAACAGCATGTTTCAATTCTAGCAATTGTCGGTTTATTTTTTAATTTGAAAACGATCCATAATCCAAAATAATGGTAGATTCCGATAGAATTATATATTGTAATACAGTTAAATTTGCTCGATGGATCATATCCATAATTGTTCAGTTCTTCAGTAATGAGAAGAAATAAAGACACATACCCATGTTTTAACTGTGGAACTGGAGACGATCTAATGTGGAGATTGAGCATGGAACCACTCGTACAACGTCTAAATTCAATTAGAAAGAATTAATTTGCGGTAACTTTGATTATAAATTGAATCGATAAATTTGTAACGTACCTTATATTGCCGTGGCCATTTCCGTTAAACTCTTGAGAGTTAGACCACCTCTTCATGGTGGATAAATTGGACGTGGATCCGTAACGACTCTTCAGATTGGTCTTGGTTTGAAACGGAAGAGGGGACGATATCGGGGAGGCGGATTTCGAGCTTCCACTCGGTTCGGAAGCGGAAGAAGGCAAATGGAAGAAAGGTAAAGGGGAGGTCATCCCGCTTCGCGGTTTGCATCCATTGGGCAGATTGAACGTCACCGACGGTCCGTTGGGCGTTCCGTTGGGAGTTCCGTTCTTGGGATGAAGAAGAAATTTTACAGTTCCGCTTCGTTTAGGAGGAGGACGATGAGACGAGGAAGAGGACGAAGAAGAAGTCGATTTTGGAGGAGGAGAAGGCGAACAGGACGACGAACTGTGCTTTGTACTTGCGGCTTCTTATTAATATATATAACATATATTTATTATATTTTAAAATGTAAATAACTAATAAATTTTCATCTTAATTCTATCTTTTTTTTATTATTCCGGTATCCATTATTATTATAGAAAAAAAAAACAAAAACAATAACACTCTACAGAGACGGATCTAACAAAATAGCGAATCGGGTGTAAAAAAAAGAAAATTGGATTTTACTAAAAACCGAAAAATAGCTGTTTTTTCATGAATTATGCAACTGTTTTGTTTATTTTAAGTGAATTATTATCAGTTAATTTTATTTATTACGCTCTTCTCAAAGCATAAAACATTGCGTGATGCGATTCATTTTTCATGTTCTTTCTTTACTCTCTGGTGTTAATTGCACGGAATTTTATCCGAAAAGTTCATCCATTCTTGAAAATTACTGGTGACATTTGCATCAGGTGATTTTCAGCGTTAGAATTTGTTTTAATCACGCAGATTAGCTTAATACAGAAATCATAACATTGAACGATTATTTGAATATACAAGATATGAAAATTCTTAGTTTTAATAACGAATTTACTGACTATGAATAGAAGATATCGATCCTTATTAGAAAGGTGTCGACTCCTTAATATCCACAGTCACTCGATACCGGATCAAAAGGTGCCTAACTACAGTTTAAAATATTAAAATTACTCATTCGGTTGACCTATTTTGTCTTGTGAATTATAAATAAATTTAGCCTGGCATGGGATCAAGGTTGGGATAGTCTGCTAATTATGGATTTGATCTTTATAAACATGGCAAATTAACGTCATATCGATTTGCTGTTTGTTTTTTTTTTTTTTAATTTTCCATATCCCCGATTATATCCCTAGTCGTGGATTTATAAGATTTACCTCTTCCTTCTAGACTTCTAATCCTAGAAAGAACTTCCGAAAGGGTGCTTCTCAAACAGATGAGTTCGCTAGATTGATCTTGTACCTTTTTCTCTAAGCTGGACACCTTCACTTGAAGAGATTCTTCGGAATCCATGGTGTCGTCTGGAACGAGAATGGCACGAAATTTATAATGAATTACTGTAGTAGATCCTAAATCCATTTGCACGAAATTTCCGTCATTCATTTATAATACATAAACGAAAAGGTGTAAATAATTCGAAGATATAAGACGTTGTAATCGTAATTGCAAGTGAGCCAAGCGATGGAGCATCGTTAAAGACGACGAACTTTAAGGTTTAAAAAATTGAATTGTAAGTAGCGAAAGATGGATAAGTATAGTTATTTACAATTCAAAATATAGAGGGTTTTATCAAAAGTTTCGCGAAACCAATACAGAAAGTTTAATAAATGACAGCGTAAAGATAAATAGAAAGAACTAAATGAATAAATAAATATCAGAGCATCGAATCATTAATTGAAATTACAATTGTAAACTATTGATTATGAATTGCTACAATCTTCAGAAGTATTTACGTTTAAGATTCTTAAAGCTTATGATAATATTACTTCATTTTTTAATTGACTTTCTCGACATTTATTGTGAAAATTGAAGACGTTTAGTTCAAAATTACATAGATTTTTTTCTATTAAAACGCTTTCTATGCTAAGTATTTAACCAATTGTGTTCTTCGAGATTCGTCTCGACAAACCAGTTCTAAATCCATTCATTTATTTTTGGAATTAACAGAAATCAAACCTACAACATTAATTTATTTTCGGTTCATTTTTTTATGGTAAGCGTAAAAAACGATTCTTCCTCCATCCCCGTTTTGTGTCAATGTACGAAAAATCCTACGAAGTTCCGTGACCTCTTAACACCTACAATACGTAATTTTTCTTCCGTATCTTGATTATTCTATTAGAAATCTTCGTCACTTCCTATCCGCGAAACGTGCTTCTTCATCAATCATTCCACAAACACCGTATCGAGCTGGAAATTTTATATTCATTCCGAAACAAGCGTAGAATATACAAATTACCAATTGCATTGTTTTAAGAGTTTTTATTGTAATTAAATCAGATTCCCTCTACCTTTATATCCTCGAGATATCATTTGGTTAGTGTTATTGGCCTAATTCTCTCTCGATAATAATAGAGATATTCGATACGATCTTTCGTCGATTCGAGAGAATATTTTCCGTTAAACTACCGAATGACAAGCAGAAAATTAGGTGGAGTGTCCTTCGAAGATCCACCCACACGCGCTACTTCGCCTACTCTAAACGCCCAATCAACCAGTTTGTACCATTTATGTTCTATTTCGTTCCGATCGACATTCCTGGAAGCATCTAAATGACCAAATAAAGTACAGAGAGAAAGTGCGAAGAGAAAAATGCTTACATCAGGCAAATCGCCACCCCCTTAAAAGTTTAGCACGCGGCTTTCTATGGTGTTTCAAATTACAATAGCGTAAATTCTATGGTAAAGTAGTGTTTACACCAGCTAAATTCTATAGGAGTGACAATGTGGGTGACGTTGGACGAGGATTATTTAATAAATACAAAAAAAAAACACGTACTGTACTGTACTGTACTGTACAGTACTATACATAATAAATATTTTGTTGGTTACGACGGTTTACGCAACGTCAGACCGGGGTCACGGTTTGCCTACAGGTGTAGATGTTGGGTGACGGGTGGGTGCCAAGGACGGCGAATGGGTGGGAGCAGGAAGCTTTTAACAGGTGAGCGCTACAATACGGCGGATAGTTAGACGTTGCAGGAAGGAAGCGGACGCTTAACAATAAAACTGTCAGCGCGGACAGGACGACCATCGATCCTACTCCCAAATTGAGGATACCGGGGCCATTTTTTACCAGTTTGTCAATAGTATCAAGGACGCCGCCGGTTTTAGAGTTAGAATATACAAGCGAGCGTGCATCCCAACCGATTCGGATGTTCGTTATTAAATAGATAAAAAAACACTAGTTATTTGTAGGGTTGTGTGTCAGAATGTATTAGCGTGTTACGTAAGTCAGGATGTAAATTATCCTGATAATTTATTTTAATTATTTGTTTGCATATTTTATTATTCCATCTATAAATAGTGTATTCAAAACGTTACGAAATAAACAAACTTGTATTAGAATAACATTTAGGAAAATGCTTTTTAATTCGCATTTCCTGTATATTTGGGAAAGAATAAGTAACAAGGAATAATATTATTTGGGCTCTATCGAACGTCCTGGAATTCCACGAATAAAGCGGATATTCTTCACTTCGCTTTCATAAAGGAAACTTATTCGAGGGGGTCAATTTTCCTTTCTAAAAACCAGTCTGCCAAACATCTGGATCCAACCTTCCCCGTGGAAATGCCAGGTGTTTACCTGTAGATAACTGTCAAGTCTTTGTGTTCCGACATAATATTAGGTAGGTTAAAAAAGACGTCGTGTAGAGATAGGATAATCGTAAAGGTCGTTTGTAGAAGTGTTAAACATCTAACAAGTAATTGTCCTTCGTTTTTCTTTACGCTAGTCCTCATCCAATTTACATTCGTGCCGACTCTTCGTGGGGGAAAAAAATGCACTTAAAAGCATAAACTCATTTTGGAGGAAATCGATCTTCGAAATTCTCAAAAACGAAGTATTATAATTAATCATCCATTGTTACCAGTAGTGTTATAACTATAAAAATTGAATAAGTAGCGTTTATTCTACCATAAAGAGAACCAGAAGTCGAAAGCCTTCTATCCTGAGGCTAGAAAAACTAGTTCAATAATAATGTTAGAATCTCGGACCGTTTTTCTCTTCTCCTTTTTCCAGCTTCCTCCTTTCTTACAACCTCCATTGTATGAAAAGGAAGTAGAGATGCGTAATAACAAATATCCAGTCAAATAATTCGGAACATCGTTTTAAAAAATCGGTTCAACAACCGATTAGAATTGCCAAAGGTTATCGTCAAGTTCATTAACTCTCCCAATGCTTTTACGCCGTATCTATCCTTAACGGATATAAGGAAGGGCGAAAGAGTATTTTGTATCCATATTTACTTAACCTTTAGCCAATCTGCATTTATTTAAAAGAATTATAATAATCTTCTCTAATGATAGGAATTATTTTGCATCGTGAATGTTAACAATCGCTTTATTGATGCATATAAGCATTACCGGCTATTGTTTCTTTGTTTAATAAATTTACTTTCACGTATTTATCAAGATAGATAATCGTCATTAACTATCGAGAAAGGGTTGCTGGCAGATCTTCACCCGATAGATACTGATAAGTATTGTATTGTAAATATCTTACGTCAGCATCAAGTGTACGGGAGTATCTCCTCCACGTTTGCTCTACACGCCGAGATATAGAGAGTTACTATACCCGTTTATATTCGTGTATACAGCACTTATACACTACATCCGTGTAGAGCATATCCTCGAGCTTTTTACTCCTTTTTTTAGACAGAAATTTGCTACGACCCCAATTAATTTTTTCTGTATTTTTTTATTTCTAATTATCAAATAGTAATGCGGTGCTCGATCGGTTGGTTTTTTTATTTTTGAAGTTTTTCTTGCCATCGCTCGGGGGATGGTGACTCGTAGTTTGATATTGATGATACTAAACCTCTTTATCACGTACAGTGAAACTATGAATTGTCCTCCCGTACAGGAATTCTTCAGAAGTACAGGTTATAGCTTCTGACTTTACTAGTCAGAAATTGCCTATAAACCTACAAATCTATTGGAATTTAACGACGTCGAAAGAACTTTTTAAAATAAAGCCCAATTTCTTCTCCCTCTGTGGTCCATCCGGCGTGTAACTGCCTATATTTTCTCATTACGGCCGGGACTCGTCTTATTTGGATAAGCTTAGTTAAGGATAAGTAATGGAGACGAAAAAGCCATCCATCGTGGGTGTAACGACCGTCGTAGGAGTGAATAATAAATGCGGTGGGTAATTTAAATTTTCAAAGATCTAATCGCCAGAAGAAATACGTCGTTGGCGTCTAAACCCGGGGTTGTTTATGAGGGTCGGAGGAGAACGGCCGTCCCTTCTACCTCCGCCGCGTAACTTTCCCACAACTGGCTTTTTATGGGTGTCGTTTAAAAAAAGTTATTTTAAATCAGGAAATGTCCTTTTGTCGAAAATCGGCTGTCAAATCGACACTTAAGGTGGAGAAACTTCCCACGTGTAAAGGCGTCTAACTGGCATCCGGTATCTTTAAAGTGTCCGCCAATAAACCGCATTGGCGTTGAAAAATAGAAGGGCAACCAAGTAGATAAACCTTTTACAATATCGAGTCGGACAGAGGAATATTGCCACATTCCTGGTCTGTAGATGCAGGAATGTAGCCTTAACTAGACGTCGCTATCCAGTTTCCATCTCTAATTAAATGCACGAAAGTACGTACTTATAATCGTTCGACCGCATCTTCCCTCTAAAATTCACAATTTCTCAGAAAGGGAGATTCAAACTTACTGGAACGTATTAGTCTGTAAGAGTCTGTAAAGAGGTTCCTTCTCGGTCGGTGTGTTTAGTATTACGTTTGAAATGTATGTAATTATCTAAAACCCGACAGAGCTACGTCTAGTTTGAGTAGGCTAAAATTTAAATTACGTCTTATTACGATTAAGATTGTTGTTTAATGAGGTAAATTTGCCACGTTTAAATCGAGCAGAATAAGAAAATTATTCTTCTTAATTGGACATTTCTCGTTATATCCCGATGCAACATTAAATAGAAAAGGTCGGGTACGTATGCTTTTCCCCCCTTCTAATCGGATCGTGCATCGGTACGACGGGTTTTTACCTTCTCATTTTATATTCTGACCTTGAAAAGAACGGGTTATGGCAGCCAGTTTCTTCCCTCGCTCGATTTCGCAAAAAGCTCGAATCGACGATAACCGAGAATAATAATAACCACGAAAGTCTACAATCATCTGATTGTAGACTTTCGTGGTATGGCTGCTCCAAACCGAAATTCGAAATAAACCCGCCCGTTTGTTCTCTCGTATCTCTTATCCGTCCTTCACACTAGACAATAGACTTTGAGGGATACAGCTTCACTTTCTGGTTAATCCTCGAGGGGTGTAGTTTATATTTAATTTGGATCTACCAGTTAGGTGTCTCGATATATTTTCGTAGAAGACAGTCTCTCGCATTTTAATGACGTGGAAGGAGGTCTGTTACTGATATCGTCGAAACAATGTCCTAATTGGAGGTAGCACCACACCCGCGAAATAATATACGCGACCGGGTCGTTTAAGAGCCAAGGATATCGGGGCAATAACCCATAACGTAATAACACCTTAGACATTTTACACGGGAATATATCTCTTTATCTGCCTCGTGAGAGAGCTTTTATAGAATATTTTTCTCGGTCAGAGCTTCCTTTATTCGTGCTCCATTTGGAGAAACGATCTAGACGTAAATCTGTCAAAATTAAAGGAGGATGCTCGTTCTGCCGGTAACCATTATGTGGCATTCGATATATGTTATTGTAATTACAGCGTTAACAAGGTGTTTGTCCTTGCACTTCACGGTGAGACGATTCACGCTTCATTTCCTAGGCCTTTCGGAATTCTTCATTCGCATGCTTTTAACACTTCTTCCATATTCTACTTACTTCCTTTTACTTATACAATGCCGAAATATTAACTTTTATGTCTTACATATCTACTAAAGATACGTGAATGCTCTTTCGCAATACTGATGGTACAGTACAGTATTAAATGGCACGTAACTTGATAATAACATTCTGTATTTTGTATACAGTATATAATTAGGATCTTCGAAGTAATTTAAAGACCGAAAATACAGTTTTAAACAACTTTGAGAGAGGGATTTGAGGGTGTTTTTCCTCGGTCCCGGAGAAAAGAACAATAGCTAAAGGGATCCGCTCTAACCCCGGGACCCGTATAAGCTGCGGCTTTAAACGTTCGAATATTATTAAAAAGATGAATGCGTAAAGGAGATTGTGACAAGAAACAACCCGGGTTGGGCCTCTCGCGCTCTCAACATCAACACACGAATAATTACTGTTAGCATTTGGGTTGCGAATGACGTAGAATAACGAGGTGTAACGTGATAACGGTAAACCGATATTTACGGCCGAATCATTACTTTCGTAATATATCATTTTTTATTTCCGAATCATCGAATGTTTACGTAAATAAAAGGGCGCATCCTGAATTTACCGTAATTAATTCTCTCGAACAGAATAGAAACACTTCAGGAAATCTATTGAATAACGTTCGAATCCGGAATGAAAACAGTCACACATCCTGACGTTAAGGTCATTCTTTCATTGTTTTCGCGTAAACAATGGCATAAATTGTCGACGGATCTACCCAGAATAATTCGAAACGATTAAAAAAAGTCAAGAAAAATAGAACATTGCGCCGTCACTACGAGGAAAATTGAACCGGCGGGGGTGAGAAGTGTATTTTCTCACCCACCGCCGATTCAATTTTCGTGGTAAAAGATGAACGTAATAAGAGATTTCCAGTATTATTAGGGAAGAAATACTACTTTAAAATTACTAGGACAGAAGGCGGAACAGTTATGGTACGCAACTAGCGTCCTGGGATGGTATTTACATCTCGAGAGACACAGAATATTAAAATTAACGGTTTAATAAATGTTAAACCCGTACGATTTATACGGGAGAGGCGTGTAACGTTTTACTAAATGCGCAGAATGACGGTTCCTCCCCAACTCCCGCATACGCGCGTTATCGCCCTTGTCGTCTCATTCCTATCGAAATTTATCGGAATGTTTTTGCCTTTTTACACAAATAGCGTATAAGACAAACGGCCTCCACTAAGCAAATAACCTATTTCCGAGCTCGTCTAGAGTCAAACCCCCCAAAATAAATATATATATATATATAAAGGAATTAAGAATAAACTGGTAACAAGGTTTATTTTAATACTGGAAAGCCTCTACCACAACGTCAAACACGTTCAACTACTTACGCAACACGTCAGAATAAACACGTTGCACAAAAGTGACTCCTTTATTAACGAGACTCGGTAGGTCTTTGATGTTCCAACGAAGTTTCGTATCCCTTAAAGGGTCAAGAAACTACCCAGGGCCGGTTTGTTTAGCCAGATATTTGTTAAAATAGAAATCCCATCCCCGTCTAGCGGAGGTTTGCGCAGAGCTCGGCCACCGAGTCACACAGCTGCTCGGCGCTTTTAAAATATTTAATTATTTCGTCATTAAATTATTTTCGAATAGCTCTTAAACGAATTTTATAAATAATATTTCAAAATATTTTCCTCCCACGCTTATCCGAGAGGTGGCTCAACAGGTTGACGATGGGTCAAGGTCTAACGGCTCCGACAGTTTTGTCAGCTTACACTGTGGCTTCAGCCTCTACCGATTTACTTATCTCGTCGACTACCTACTCGAAAAATGTCGAAATTATTCTTTAATTCGTTCCCATTTACCGATATTTTGATTTCGAACACGTTAATTCCAACCTAATTCTCCTTGTATAGCAAAAAATTCGCTAATTTATTTTTTTTATACAGGAGAAAAGTAGTAGTACACCAGCGACGTTCGGTAATAAATCGTCGGCGGAACACCATTAAACTATTATTATTCCATCTAAAATATTTGATAGAATAATAATAGTTTAAATAATAAAATGAATCATTTCTCCAGACATCTACTCCTTTAATAAGGAAGTAATTTACCTCCTTAAATAATTGTTAGAACACCAGAAAACTTTACACGGGTGAGAAAATATATATATATTATTCTACCTACCAGTATAAAAATAATAATAATAATAACAACAGCCAACTGTCGTCTAACGGGAACGATAACACGATTTAAAAGCGACCTGGATACTACTACATCTGTTCGAATATTAACTATTAAACACGGCCCGTGTGTTTCGTACGGAGTAAAACAGAATAGTTAACCAATTATCCGGTAAGAAAGTTTAAATTACGTGACTTACCGGTGCCACCTTCGGACAGATCGTCTCTAAATTGAGATTTCAACTTCATCTCGCCGCCGTAGAAAAGGGAAAAATCCCTTTTCGAATAAGTGGTGATTGGAGTCGCCGTCTTGACGCGCGTGCAACACACAACTGCGACCGTCGTCACACTAGTCGACCATTGAGAACCCCGCCGACTGTACACCAGGTAAGCCGAAAGGGAAGTAAAAGCCGAGTAGATTGGCAACCGGCCCAAACGTCTCTCATTGGTCGACGGGGTGTTTTTTTCCGTTTCGACGTCCCTCTCCACCCTTTACCCTTGCCTCCTCCGACCGGCTCCCCCTCCGCTCGCCCGATAAATAGGAAGCTGCGAAGGCTACGAAAACACAAAAGGCTTTATTTTCCGGATGGGAAATCGATGCGATCCCATACGAAAATATGCAAAAAGTAAAGAATTTTTCCTCCTCCTCCCCTTTTCAAACAATTCCTCGTTATGTTGTTTGCAGGAAAGGTTAGAAAATTTCCATCGGCAGGTCCCCTTAAAAAACGGGTCGAACCCCTTCGGTAATATTTTCGACACCTGCGGGGTGCGGCGACTATCGTCACGCTAAACCCCGCGGCGCGTGGAATGACGTAAGCGAACAGTGACGAGCGTTAGAAAAAAAAAGCCCGAAACTCTCGTCTCTCGTCCTTGACCGAGTGAGAAGATTAAATACTCGATCCTGTCCCGAAATCGTCTACGCCGAATTTAATTGTTTCCCATTCGAAGTTCGGGTGTCGGTGGTGTTTCTGGTGTCGAATTTGACGGGTTATTGCTCTCTTGTGTTTAAATAGGCCGCCTTACGTGACTTGTATATTATCTGTTCTATCGAACTTGGGCTCTTGAAGTATTAAATATCTTTTTTTTCGGCTGGTTAATTCTATGTATAAAAGTCTAAGTCGAACGTACGAAGTTCGACGGAGAGAGAAAAATGTCTCGTAAATCATAATGGCTGTACGGTTGTCGACTCTTACAGTACGTAACGTTCTCCGTTGTGTTACTCAACCGACGGATCTGTTATTCGTTCCGGCACAATAGGAAAACGGGATAAAAACACTAACACTAATTGCTATGTTACGGATTTTTCCGTTTACGTAATTTCGAAAAAATTAATTATCCTTTCGCAATATAAACAATGGAGACTTTCCGAAACAAACAAGCAACCTCGCTGCTTTAACTCCGAATCCTCTCGATATTTTTCTTTAGAAATTAGTCGTTAAATCGAATTAATGAAAGGGGTGGGAATTTTATAACTCCATATAACGATGGCCTCGGAATAACAGTCAAAAAATCGTTACTTAACGAGTTCGAGTGGTAGCAGACACAAACGGAAGGGCATGGAGAAAGATTACATAAAATAAGTTATATTATTTTTTTGACGGACAGACACGCGTTGCTCGCTGGATTATACAATTTTTTAGTATCGTCGAGTGTACAGTACCTGTAATAATAGCGCGCGTATATCTTGACGTATAATTACGTTACGAAAATACGTAAATTATTACGTATTTTCTCTCTTAATCGATTAGCTTGAAAAAAAAACATGGCGTGTTTACTACGTGTTGCGTTCTGTGTTACGTCACACGACACGCATTGTATCGTCGTTTAAATATCATCATCACCTCATATTTTCCGAGCGGTCAGGTGTAACTTAAATATTTTAATATAAATACGAAAGGAGTCGACGTAATTGGACACCGATTTAAATATTGTTCGTTTATTTTGCATATGGAGACGTGCCAAAACCAATTATTTAGGTTCCGTGCATTAATTCTAGAGAAACTACCGGTTACGTGCGAATGTCGTTAACTCCGAAAATAAACCACACGAAAAAATATATAGAGCCGCGCCCATTCTTCTACGACGTAAACTTATCGCAAAATTATCGTAACATACGACAGATGTAATCCAATTTCCAATTTTTTTGCACGTGCGATAACTCTCGCTCGTTTCGAATTTCGCTCACGAAATATTTCGCGCTCGACACTTCGACTGACATTGTTAACCAAATTTTTCCAATGGTGGGCCAAAAAACATTTATAAGTGATTCTAAGTATTGCAGGGTTATCTAGAAGATCGAACCCTGCAATACGTAGAATAGGCGTGCTTAGTTTCTTCCTGGTTCTTCATCTCAATAACGCGTGGATTAGAAACAAAACTTATTGATTTTAGTAACAGTTCGACTGCACCTATTGTGTAATCGTACACTCCCCGAAAGAGGTAGGTAAACAATTTCGCTTTGTTTACACCCGTCTTTCGGGTAATTACGCGAATGTATTAAGTGGAATTTGTAAATAGGGACCCACCTTTAAGAGTCGAATTTCGGCATGGATCTAGTTTGACACGTTTCGGTAAAGATGTCGTCGATAAAATCGAATTTAGTTATGACGCTGCAAATATCGTAAATGAACCACATCATCGTTCCTTAGCTGTTTTGCAGTTTAAGAATTTTTTGTTTTTTTTTCTAAATATAAAACTTTTGTCTTAACTTAATATTCAATGACTAAATGGATATTAATTGCAATTTCCTGTATTATAATTAATATGTAAAACCCTCATTCGGGTTCTACGTAGCTCTTGCGTAATAATTAAGCAACTTGCTGCAGGTATTGCAGACTATATCCGGACCTTAATTGCTACGGTTTTAGACATTTATCCGTTAAATATTGTTCTCTGTTTCTAGGACGACACCGTTTGCGATTAAGGCGGAAAATGCCTTAATTGACGCAATGATCGTTTAATTAAAGGGGAATTATATCCTTAAATAATTTAATTTAGCTTATGTAAGATAGCTTATTTATTACGTCCATCTCAAAGAGGTAATAAAAGCGAGGAAGATCTTCCTACGTTTCTTATTATTGCTGTTATTTCTAAAATATGAAATTAACCTATACATATTTTAAATTATATTGGTTTTAAGATGGTATTTTCCAGTGTGATAATCGAATTTCTTTAATAATAAATCGGAAAATCGTGTAAAAAACCGCTGAATTCTGTAATTAAAAACAGGTTTTTTTGACAAAAATTCATCCCCCGTTATTTTTGATATTGTTAACAATCCGGCAAGCGGGATAGGAGGGTCATTATAAGAGTGACATCATTCTTTTTATTAAAATGTAGTTTCTGTTGACGTCATTTATATACCACCTTTGACTGGTTTTTCGGAGCCCGTTTAAGTAGGTCTAATTCTTGACCCCGTGGCTTAAAGACGTTTTCTTCTATCTTAATTCAAAATAGCCAATGTACTGGTACTGTACGGTACGTCATAATAAATTTTCAAGTAGGTTAAGAAAGAAGTCTTAAATGGTACAGTACATTATATTCTAGTATCGAATGGTTAATACATGGCTCGACATTTACAATACATCTCACAGCGCGATTGACAAAACAGAGTATAATTTGCTTACGAAATTGGTAAATGGGTCACCCGTACAGATACGTTTCGTCAAAAAAGTACTGGATGCTTCTTTAGATAGGTGCGAACCCAGTTTGATGGGGTCGACGTCGTTTCGGTCGTACGCGTCATACGTGGAATTTTTATTAACTAAATTTAAATATCGTCCTATAGAATCTTGGGATATAATCAGTTTTAGGCTAGTGCTCTCTTTAAACACTTCGTTACTGGTCGAAAATACTCAAATTGCCAACATAAACCGCGCGTGTACTGTACTACATTATCCAAAAAAAAAAATTACGACTTTCAATACAGGAGTTAGACGATCAGAAAATTACGTAATAATACAATCGTAGTGTTTTCTTCTTCGTTCAAAGTCTATTAAGGTTTTGAAAAAACTTGCCGTATTGTTCTAGATGTGGTTTATGCTCTCGGTGTTTCATAATATTTGTAAACGGAGTAATGCGGGATAATGTTATTTGCTTATATATCGGCTGTAGTCCCTAATATCAACTGTCCTCATTTGTTAATCAATAGAATTCCTTTTAATTAACCGATGGCTTTAATGAATAGTTATTTACACTAAATTGCCATTTGAAAGGGAAACGATTTGATTATTTAAAGCGAATTCTACAAAATCTTAAATAGAAAAATATTCTTAAACATTTTATAAAGTATTTGTCGACCTTATTTTCTTGTAAAATTCTCGGTTAACTCTCTCGGAATAGGGAGAAATTACATCTTCTACACAAATTAAGTTAACGCCACTACGTAGAAAGAGAAGAAATGAAGATTCTACTCCATTTCTGATGAGAATTTACACGAGGTGACGTATAATGAATAATTAAAACACAACATATCGAATCTGTATAAAATAATATCCGAGTATTATCGTAATGTCTGTCTCAATATAAGTGCAGTTGTACTGTACCTGTTTTTCTATCTACGTGAACTCAAATACATAAATATACAGAATTTCTTTATTCTATTGTAATTTAGTTATTAAAAGACAGTAAAAATGGATATACTCCGCGACTCACTCAATGTTGAAAATCTTTGTACTGTCTTTATTATTGATATTTCCAGAATTGAATCCGTGGCCTTTCTCTCAGAGTCCATTGGTTTGTTTGAAAAGAGAGAATAATTTGAAAAAATCGATAGAAGGATTTCTAAGATGTCCGAAGCCAAGGAAACCGTTGTTCTTCGAGGGATTCTATAAGTTGCGGTGTCTGGGCTTCTTGAAGAATTATAAAATTACTTGTATGGTCCTGCCGGTTACAAAGTGAGTTTTTAACAGACGAGTACTGTAAAGTACTGTACGTCCCGAGATTCCCGATCATTAATTTTATTTATTGATAGATGTCTATTGCCAAATAACGTATGCAGAATAATTAAAACAATTAGCAATTTGTTCCGTGGCTTCGGGCATCCTCCAATCGTATCCCGTTACACTGTTTTCTGTTTACAAATTTGAAAAGTATTTTAGGTCCTTGAATTTATTCTGGTTTCGCAACGCGTCGTTTAGTTTTTTGTGGAAATCGTCCACGCCATCGCATTCAAATTTAGACTGCATTGAATGCCATTGAAACGTTTCGGAGAAGTTTGTCAACGACGCCATGTTTTTTCTTTATTGTTAACGACGCCATGTTTTACGAAAATAGAAAAAGAAATTAAACCAAAGGACACGTTTTCAATGTATTTGCAAATACAAAAAGACAGTTACAGAAAAACACGACAATCGACAAAAAAATTGCATGGTTAGAAATGTTCGAGGGCAAAAGTCAAAAGAATTTGCGGTGGAAACAAGATTTTACAAATG